AAAGAAGCACAAATGTAATTACTGCCCCTCCACTGGCCTTGCTGCTAAGCCCCCCCGGCACCTGGGAGGGGCGTGGCATTTCCTGTACCTGTGGAAAGTGTTGGGGGGGGGGGTTCTTTTTGTGGAGCTGCCTCTCGGGACCCGTTGCCCCCGCTGCATACCAGCAGGATATCATTGATACGATTTCATACTCCTCCTTTTTTAAAAATGCAGCATCTCGCAGGTGGGGGGCTGTTATCCCTCATTGGCAGTCCCCCGCTTTGGCCCGCTGGTGTCTCACGGATGAAGTGATGCTTGAGGCGGGGGCGACGCTGGGCCGGGAGGGGGGGGCGGAAGGGGGTGGTGACTGGAAGCTGCAGTGTTCAGCCGCGTGATCTATCTGACCTTTCTCAGACAGCAAGAACCTGAGCACTAAGGTACCTGAGAGTCTTTGAAGCGGGGGACCCCCCACCTGACCAGCTCCCTCCTGCGTCAGCCCTGCAGGGGGGGGGGGGGGGTCAGCGGCAGGTTGGGACAGGAGAACTCAGGCGCTAATGGCAGCACTGCGGGGGGCTCAGCATGCTGGGCTGTGGTGTCCCACCGGGAACCCGAAAGATGTTCCGTCCTAGAGGATCAATCCGTCCGGCTTGCTGCCCATGGAAGGAGCTCAGGGAACCGTCACAAGGCGCCACCCACTCTGAGTGCCCTAAACTCTCACGGAAAGCTCCTTCACAGGATGGGAAACACCCCCTCCAAGGGCGGCCGTGCAGCCACTCATATCTCACCATTTTCTTCTTGGTCCACAGAACTGAGGTACCAAAGAGTCAGAGCGATTGTGTGGAGCAGGGTTAGGGTTAAATGGCCTAAATTATACAAATACCTATAGTTAAAACTGAGACTTGTCCTGTGAGTCTATAAGAAAATCTAAAAGCTTGAGTCTCATTGGGTTAATACTGTGTCTGTAAGTCTGTAAGCTGGGGTCTGATTGGGTTAAGAGTAACCCTGTAAATCTTTAAGCTTGAGGGTTTATTGGGTAAATACTGTGTTTGTAAATCTGTAAGCTCTGGTCTCATTGGGCTAATAATGACAGTGTAGATAAGCTCTGATCTTATTGAGTTAGTAGGCTAACACTCATTTGGCATGGGATTGAACCATCGGGTGCAATATACATATGTGACCTTAGCCAATCTTGCTGCTTTTCCATCTACAGAAAAAAAGATATTTCTTGTTCAACTGGCTTTAAACTTAAGCTAAGTTGCACCCAAAACAATAATCACACCCCAGACCCCTTCTTGGAACCAGAAGTGCCTCCATCTATGGAACTCAAAAATTAATACGCTCACGAGAACAATTAACATAAATATATTCTGCAGAAATACAAACTCCTTATGTAGGGTTGCATTGTTCGTCAGCGTCTGCCCATGTTGCTTTGTTACTTATTTATTTCCTTTCTCAAAGACAATGGTGCCCCAACAGATGACGAAAGGCTACATTCTGGTGGGGAATTGAATTTGCTGCCTAACTAGCAGTTGTCCATACTGCTCGTTCATGTGATTAAGTTGTCTGTCATCAAGTGAGATGTAACATTTTTTTGCCTGGGGGGTGCAGCGGGGGCAGATTGTAACCCCAGCAGCTTTGCTCTGTATTCTGAGTCGTTTTGCATGACTGCAGGTTCCTTGTCACCTCAGAGCCTGACATGCAGCCCTCCCTGCGTCCGTCTCGGCCAGAGTGACCGACAGCAGCAGGCTGCTTAATTAGCTGCCGCCTCCAATTAACTCCAGCTAGGAGACCTGATGGATTGAGTCCATGACCGTTTTGACAGGACACACGGTTCGCGTGTGAGATGTGAACCCAGGACGCACGGTTTGCATGTGAGATGTGAACCCAGGACGCGCGGTTCGCGTGTGAGGTGTGAACCCAGGACGCACGGTTCGCGTGTGAGGTGTGAACCCAGGACGCACGGTTCGTGTGTGAGATGTGAACCCAATATTTCCTGTATTGAGAGCCTATGCCCCACGGTACCTGCCGGCCCGGTCTCCCGCCACAGATCAGTCAAACGCATCGCGCACATGTGGCAGCTTTTATTCTGCTCTTTGTTTTTCACATTGGCGGTTTAAGCGGGAGGTCAGGCAGTCACTCATCTCTGCCGGTTCCCCACAAGTCTCATCTTGCAATATCACCTGATGGAAAGATGATAATGAATCTCAATTCCGAAAGTGACTCCCGCAGTGGAAATTATAAGGCATGCGAACAAAGTCGCTGTGGCATTAAAGCCACGCCGGCAGTACAGTACGAGGGACACCAGCGCTACAGCAGAAAGGACAGACTGGAACCTAATGCTCACGGTTAAATAGAAAAATACCCAAGGAGTTCAGTTTGTTCAAAGGTATGTGATCATATAATATGTGTGTAATCAAAATTGGCAAATTCATTAAATACAGTACCTCTGTCAGCAATGGTCAATTGAATCCAATTTGGTTTCAATTACCGACTTGCACAGCCATTTAATCCCAGCATTGTGTATTTATTAATGTGATGTGACTTAGCAAGCGAAGCAGATGTCACCGATCCTTCAGTGAATGCCCTGTACCCTCTGGGGAGCGCGTGGGGGGTTGGGGGGTGTCCGTGGTCTGCGGCTCCATACATTTCGCCCCTGCGGTGCTCGGCCTGGGGAGACTTGAGGAGATAGAAATAGTCTTCTTTATTTAGTGAATAAAAAACAATCTGCAATTGACGCTGTCCCCCCAACCCTGAGTAATTAATTATGAACTCCGTCTCTTGAAGTCGGACAGTCCTTTTTTGGAGATTCCAACCTTGAGCCATTACAGTTTTGCCCAAACTGGCCTTTTTGCCTGTTTTCAGTTAAAACAAATGCATTATGGCTGAAAATCAGAAAGAACAACTGGTCCGCAGGTGACTGTCCATGGGCAGCTGTTGGCACCGAGTATCGGGAATTCTCTTTGTTTACGCTTGTTGCCAATAATTCCCAACAACTGTCACAAATGTGTTTTTTATTTGATGCTCCTTGCACATAGGATTATTTGGCTCATTTGAAGCGATTTCAATAAAGCCTCATTTTCGGATAAAATCTCGTATCTGGTCCAGTTTGCATAGCAGTGTCTGTTATTGTGGCTATGTCGCTGTGTCCCTCTACTCCTGAGGGGGAGGGGGGGGGGGCATTTGTTTTTCTTTACACAGACAAGCTACAGTTAGTCATTCGGAGTTAAGAGAAATTTTCTGTGGGTAGTCAGGTGTTTCTATGACGATTGGAGTTCAATAGAAAATGGCTCATCTTCCAGTAAATGCTGGCATAAATGTCAGGGATGTTTGTTCTGGAAGAGCAGGAGATGTCTCCTGTGTGGGTGTTGTGTGCACAATGTTCTCTTTCTTTCCTCAGAAAACCTTTGCTCAAATAGGAAATGATTTGTTATTTTTTTCACTATAGCTAATTCAGCTGCTGCCTTTTGTCTCCCCCAGGGACAGAGAAGGTTGGCAGAGACTCCATCTACGAGCAGGAGGGCAAGGTGCAGTTCGTGATCGACGCCGTGTACGCCATGGCGCATGCCCTGCACCGCATGCATCGGCAGCTCTGCTCCGGATACCTGGGCCTCTGTCCCCGCATGAGCAACATCGACGGCAAGGAGCTGCTCATGCACATCCGGGCCGTCAGCTTCAACGGTGTGTGGGCCGTTCGCTGGGCTTTAGCCGGCACCCTGTGAGGCTGCACATGGTCAAATCTCACGTTTTGCTGCTCTAAGGAGAAAAAGGGAAGATGGTCCATTGGCCGGTTCCTGTAGGGCTGGCGTGCCGGTGGTCTGAGAACCTTCCGATAGGGCAGGTTGCATCTTGTAAACTGAGGGGTAGCCTGTTGATGCCGGTGGAGACTCTCCATTGCTCACATTTTCCTCACTCATTCCCAAAGGCCAAAATGTGGAACAGAATGAGCCCTTTACCACCGACTGGGTGTTTTTCTGTTACCTTCAGTTAATTCACTTTGCATACTTTCTGCAGCTCGCTGCTTTGCTGTATCACTGGCAGAATCAAAGAGCTTTAAATTGAAGGTGACATAACTGAAGTGCACTGTCTTTGCTTCTGTACATGTACTAGACTTTCTTCCATTGTAGTTTAAAGTCGGCAGCCTTATTGCACTAGGTTACCAGCTTAGTTCAACATGTGCATTGATACCTTGAGTACTTGAGGCCTTCCCGCGCCATCGGAGCGCGGAGTTCCTCCTTCTGCTGTCAGGGCTCAGCTTAATCTCAGATGGTGGCCGTCCGTCGGGATTCCGGCGGCTTCGCGAGAGTTTACCTGCGCGGGATTACGGGGCTTTGGACGCCCGCCGATGGAGGGGCCGCTGTCCCCGGCCTGCGTCTGCTACGTCAGGCTGCCGGCTGGAGATGGATTTAACGAGCAGTAATGTGTCTGCATCCTGAAAAAACACCTTTGGGCGAGAAAAACAGCTCCAGGTGCTGGAGGGTGAAGTGTGGAGAATGTGATTTATATAAACTGGCTCAGCTGGCTCTGTTACTGGATGGCTCCTGTTATGGATTCCACAATATGGGTGTTGAGCTTTGAGGGCACGTCATTAACCACGGCGCTACCTGCTGGCCAGTGCTGATATTGATGGGATTTTTTTATAGCTCATTCATGCTAGTGCAGATAGTCAACTTGAAGACGACTCTTCAGTTTTTATTTGAAGACTTCACACTGTCAAACGATGCGTCACCCTCCTTGCGTTGCCTTACTGATCCCGCTTATACTTAAAAAAAGCATTTTTAGCCTGGTGACTGTGTGCTTACATGCTCCTCCAGGAAGCCCTGCTCTGTGAAAGCTAGACCCAGCCATGTGATTTGTTTTCTGCTTGCTGATTGGGCATTCAGCTTACCGATGCTAGCTGGAGTGTGATTGGATGGGACTCTGAAAGAGCCCTCACAGATCAGGAACAGGGTGCTGGGCTCATACCAATCAAGCCAACCTAAAGCGCAATAGCCTATGCCCTGTCCACACTTAGCAAAGACACATTTTAATTTATTGGTTGTGGTGGGAATTACAGAGTTTGGTGGCCTCCCTACCCCAGACCCCCACATCTTGGAAAGCCAGACCCCCCTGGCATAGGACAGGATAGCTGAGCTCCTCTGTGAGTCGCCCCCAGGGCCCTCCTGCCTCAGCACGGCTCCTCGTGGCTGTAAGAGCCCCGTGTTTTTGATTCGCACTGCAGAAATCACTTAATTAACCACACAGGAAGTCAGACAGTCTGCTCAGAGTCTCTGGCTCAGCCGGTCCTGTTCGGCTTCAGCGTACGATGTTAGTCTTTCTCCATTCTCACACCATCTGCCTCTCTGCTTTGCTCCCTTTATTCCGCAAGACCTCCTATAGCCGCGGATGCTGTTTATTTTCATAATTGTGTCATTACGCATTCACCATTACGGCTGCGATTAGCGCTGCCATTTAAGAGAGATACATCGTTTTTCTCCAGAGCTTAACCCCCTGGGACCGGCGATCCCGCCGGCGGGATCTGACAGAATTCTCGCGAGACCGTTTAAATAACTCCGCGAGTTTTTGTCATATACTCATTTTAAAAATACCCTCAGAAACTTTGGACGGTCTACTTTTCAAATATATATAGGTAGAAACTAAATATATTTTTAC